AAAACAACAAAACCAAATTAAGAGTAACTTAGAATATTATTAAGTATCTTTATCAGCCCTGTAGTTCAAAAATTTGTAATTGTTTTTCAAATCTAAAATTTATTGCAATAAATGGACGATTTGCATGGAAGACAACAAAATTGAGCTGCTAACAATGTGCACTCTGAAAGCATACTCTTGCTGACATAAGGAAGATGTGAAAAACGGTAAACAGAAGTATTTTAAACTTAAAATAATCCCAAAGGACTTGGATTCTCTTGGATTGTGGAGCAATCTACCTGGTAACACAGGAATGTACTGTTTTCCATAGCTGGAAAAGCAGGACCTCATTTGACAAACAACAAAACTTGACCACAGTCTAAGGCTGTAGAAACTCTAGTTTACGAGTGCCTCCTGTTGCTGAAAAAGGCTACTGAGAAGATAAACAAATTTCATAAATCATTTTAAATATGAAACTTTTCTCTTCCTATGGTTTTTAACAGCACTAGTAGAGAGTAGCAGGGTAGGAACAGGGTCATGTACATACAGAAACATTTCAGCAGCAGCATTCTTGCAGATGTGTAATAAATTACTGATCCAATAAACAATGATGTCGCCAGAACAGTTGTGAGTAATGAGTAAGTAAATCCTGGCTTCTGTATCAATTTACCAATTCAACACCAGTACTGCAGACAAAATGGTAAATTGGTATAGATGAAATTCCAAGGAATTGAGTTATATGGATGAGGAGAAGCCTAGTGGCTTCACTGACAAAACATGTCAGCATTTGCCAGAAAGAAACCACCTGCTGCTATTAAGAAATCAGTTTGAAAATGTTATCCTCTTTCAAGACAAATTTGGTTTTAAGTCACTGAAAGTTAACTGGCTAATATACAGCTAGTATTCATATTTTCCCTTGTGTAATTGCTTATTACAAGCCAAAGACAAAAAAACAAAACAGAAACAAAAATTCTTGGAGAACATTGTAAAAAGCAGCAATGTATTATACAAACACTAACATCTGTGCTGCAACCAGTGTCTACAGGAGATCAACTCCACTTTTTGCTTTTTCAGAGTCAGTTTTTTTGAGTCAAGCTAAGAAATGCAAGGGAAGAAAATTAAAGTCTTCAGATTTCTTATTTCAGAGTTAAAAAAAGGACAATATTAAGTCTATCAATCTTTACAGCTTTCATTTAATTTGTAAAAAAATATCATATGGTATATAATAAAAAAATATACTACAGATGCCAGCACATGCATCTACAGTTCTGCTTCAGTAATATTCTCATCAGGGCAACAATAGTATTCCACAAAACAGATCTGTCCATCTTCATTCCTGATCATATACTGAAGTGAAAGAAATCCTTGAGCATCTGTTCGAATGGACACTTTACAAGATAAAGCCAGTGCCTTTGTAGATGGTTTAAGCAAAGAAATCTTGTACCTACAGGGAAAAAAAAAAGTAATCTGAAAAAAATACATTGTGCAAAGAGGAGCTAAAACATTAGTCCCAAACAATGCTACAGAATAAATAAAAAACAATTAGCAATATACCTATTTGGTCTTTACTTGGTAACAACATCAGACTGATATTGTTAACACTTAGCTTTTGATTACAGACACAGATTTTTATCAGATAGGAAATATTTCCCCCCCCCATACTAGTGAAATAAGTGTTACAGTAATGTAAGAATAGTTTTTAATCTTCCCATCAAGAACGCATGATCTGGCACAGACTTCCTAACCTGTTTGTCTGAGTCTGGTTACAGTGGAATGCTTCCATCAAATCAGAGTCCTTAGGATAGTCCAGATGTGCACTTCCAGCATTTCCAAAAGTGGATAACCTGGAAGACAAAAAGCACCATCTCAAAATACCTGCTCACAGCTCTCTAAAAACTCACCAGAATGAGTCACTGTGCATATCCCAATGGCTCTCTCACAAAACACAGCTGTCTGTTTCCCTTTAATTAAAAATGCTAACCTGTTCAAACCAATGTCACATTTATCAGGTTGAGAACTGTTTACTATGTTAATTAGATTACATACTGTGACTTGCTATATTCATTAAAATTCTTCCTGAAATGAAGCAGTATCCTAAAACAGTGCCCTTCTCTCCGCCCTGAGAACTTCCAGTCCTCACCAATGGAGGCCAAGTATGAACATTTCAGTTGAAAGCAAAGTTTCCAGTACCTGAAGTAGGGTTTATCTGGAGACATGGTAATCTGTAGAACTTCACTGCTCATATCCAGTTCAGCAAACGCTTCTCGTAGCCCCTCTGACTGCAGGATGATTTTATTAACAACCTTTGTACTGCAGAAATCAAAATCTAACAACTCCTCAGGTTCTTGAGTGTTAATTTTGCACACTGTCACTACTCCCCCTTCTTCCAAGAACAGCATCAGGGGATAACCATAACCACGATAACACATCCTAAGGGCCGTTGATGTTCCTGAAAAAGAGAATGAAATATACATTCTGCAGAGAGCAAAGCTAGTACATTTGATCACTTCAGAAAATTCACATGTTACTGGCACATGGGGCACAAATCAATTTGATTCAGCGTGTTTGGTCCAGCCTCCAATACATACATCACATTACTTAGTGCAGCCTCCTAGACACACTCTGAAGTGTTATGCAGCAAAACAAAATGATTTGTGTGTAGACAGTTCCAATCCAAATCATTTAATCTACCAAGCAAGTTAATGTTACCTATATATGCTATCAATAGTTCAGAGGAATTGAAAAATCCTCCATGGTCCTGAGGCTCTGTGGCTCACATCATGCTGCTGTACTACTATTGTAATTTGTGCAACCCAAAGTGAAGTTAATGCAGCTTAGCTTGCATTGCAGTCACACCCTCCTTTTGCAACACAATCACCCCCTGAACATCTGGTTTCCCAAAATCACCGTGCTGTTTAGTACACTTGATTCAGGTCTTTATGTCATTCACAACCAAAACGGCAGAAAAATGTGGAGTTAAATACACAGCTGCAACAGTAGAACTGCCCAAGGAGCTGTCATGGTATCACTCCACTCCACCTGAGTGGAGTGATACCATTTCACGGGAAATATACCACACCTGGCAAAGAGCTGGTTCCAAAAATGGTGAGGCAGTCAAGAAGAACAGACAAATTGATCCGGAACATCACTGATTCCTCCTGAACAGCAAATTCCTGAAAAATTTCTGCCTGTAAGTTAAAGAGATGAAAAATGGGATGTCTCTGTAATTATTTTACAGTTTGCACTTATTTCCTTAAATTCAGAGCTTTCACTTTCAGAAATCAGCGCCACTCAAAGTGATTTCTAGATGCAACACAGTATCGATTATAGTAAAAGGGTTCTTCATCTCCAAAACTAGCAAAATACAATCAGGTCACAGTGAAAACAAGGTAGCATAGCATAAGCATGAAAACCTAAACACTTGACTTTTATGCTTTAAAAATGAGCTACAAGCATTAAAGCCTAAAGCTGCCTACTTCTGGAGCTGGAAACATTCATGGAACTATACAATGTGTTACCCTTCTCCAGAAACAATACTTACTTTTCTTCACTCAAAGCATGAACAAACATTTCAAATAATAAAAGAATGTAAGAACAGAATAGAACACTGAGTTCACCACACTGAAATATGTGCTGAATCCTGCCTTTGACTAGCCTGATAGGGGTAAACTGCTCTACACATTCCCATTTGCCACTGGCACTCACTGCACCTGCAGGAACAGAAATATCTCAGAAATAAAGCAGGGTGACATGAGCTGGTTTTGGGAAAACAGTACGTATTTAATTGGCCATCCAGAGGGCAAACCCCATCCTGTGGCACACTGAGCACAGCACAACCATCTCAGCCCAGCTGGTAACTTCAGACGAGTATCTGTGAATCTCTGCTCTCTTTCATAGCTGACATAAATCCCACCTTCTGGCTTTGGGATGAGACATAATAAAACCACTTAAAGATGGATAATCTGAGAACTTGCTCGTGCATCCAAGAACAGCATGGCCAGAAGAAGCTATGGGCCTGGCAAGTGCCAACACATTAAAAAAGAGTGCCAGCCCAGCACGCCGGCAGGTGTGCAGGAACACACCAGGCACAGGGGTTGGCCTTTCGGTAGCACTAACACCACACGGCAGCCTCACCGTGACCCTCCCTCCGTGCCAGGTCCCACACCTGTGCCACGGTTCCAGCAAAGCCTCCCCTTTTCTGCAGGTAAACACAGAATCACAAGATTCCTAGGGTTGGAAGGGATCGCTGGGCCTCAGCGACCTTGGCCAAGGCAGGGTCACCTACTGCAGGTGACACAGGAACACATCCAGGGGGGTTTTGAATACCTCCAGAGAGGGAGACTCCACGATCCCCCTGTGCAACTATTCCAGTGCCCCGCCACCCCATGTTGAGGTGGAACTTCTTGTGTTTTAGTTTATGGCCATTGCTCCTTGTCCTGTTTCTGGACACCACTGGAAAGAGTCTGTCACCACTCTCCTGGCACCTGCCTTTGAGATATTTATATGCATTAATGAGATCCCTTCTCAGTTTTCTCTTCCCTAAACAGGCCCAGCTCCCGCAGTCTCTCCTCATAAGAGAGATGCTCCAGACCCTTAATTATCTTTGTGGGCTCCGCTGGACTCTTTCCAGTGGTTCCTTGTGTTTCTTGCACCGAGGAGCCCAGAACTGGACACACGCGGTAACCGGGAGCTTCCTAAGGTCTCCAACAGCGGTGCCCTCCCCCTCGCCGATGTCCCACCTGGATGAAGGCGTTGGCCTGGATGCACTTGGCATCCTCCACGGTCACGCGCAGCCCGCTGGCCGTGGCGAAGCACGTGGCGTGGTCCTGGAAATGCACGGCCCGCAGGAGGCTGGAGAGGTGCCGCGCGTTGTCCAGGCTGGCGGACAGCACGTAGGGCTCGCCGCTGGCAGGCGGCGGCGCCGAGAACGGCATGGCTGGATGCCGGGAGAGGAGGGGCGGGAGCGGGGCGGGACGGAAAGGGCGGCGCAGGAAGCGGGAGCGGAGGAAGTTGCGAGCGCAGGAAGGGCGGGAGCGGCGTGTGCGGCGTGTGGCGAGATGGCGGCGGGGAAGAGGAAGCGTGCGGCGCTCCCGCCGGGAAAGGGGAAGCGCGCCAGGACCGACCCCAGCGCGGCAGAGGCAGAGGCGGCCCCGGCCGGAGCCCCGCAGGAATACAGCATCCCGCCGCCCGTGTCCCAGGTACCGCCGGGAGAACGAGCCTCCTCCCGAGGAGCTCGGCCTTCCCGGGGTACCGGCGCTCGGGCTGCCTGCGGGAACACCGCTGCTTAGCTCAGTCATAATCTTTTATAATGCCAGCGCGAGTAACGCGGTGGTGTGGTGTGTCTGTGAGGGTACGCGAAGAGCGTTGTTCTGGTCGGTGTAAATAAGATGGGTTACCGTGATCTCAGAAGTGTTTGGAAGAGTTGGGTAATTCTGTTGTATACAAAAGGTATATGGAGATGGTGCCTGTTCCGTTTAGGAATCATCCTGAGGAGCGTTCAGTAATTGCGTTATAGGTTCCTTACAAGAAAAACGAAAAGTAGCACGTATAGAGCAGAGATTTCGTCGGATGCCCGTGGGTAGGAAAAGCGGAATTGTGCTCTGGGGCTGTACCTGAGCTCGTTTTGCAGGGAAGGAGAGGTGCTTTTTGTGAATAAGTAATGCGTGTGGCTTCTTAATACTGTGGTGCGAGGGAAAGGCTTTATCTGGGAGCACACTGGAGCAGGATGGAGGACAGTTCCTCCTGTAAAAGCAAGGCCCCTGCATTCTCTAGGGAAGCCACCGCTCTTGGTGGGTGGACAGATAATAACAAATGTGGGGTTTGTAGTTACTGTCCAAACACTTATTTTTGCTGTGTTGTATAATTATTAAAGCTAGAAACTTCCCAGGTAACTTTTATGTCTTTTTCTTAGGGTAAATGGAAGAATAAGGAGCGAGTGCTGATATTCTCCTCTCGTGGAATTAATTTCAGAACAAGGCACCTAATGCAAGACTTGAGAACATTGATGCCTCACTCTAAAGCAGGTAGGGTTAAACATCATTCCTAAGTTATATTTTCAGAATACTTTAAAACCAAGAACTTCTAGCAACCTGTTCTTTTTTTTTTTAATGTGGTACATGAGTGTTTTGATGAAACTTATATCTTAAGCAAACACCAAACCCCTTTAGAGCCAACAAATACAGCACCTGTCATATCTTAAGATTTCCTGGGAAATTAATCCTGTGGCATCAGTCCTGCAAGTGCACAGTTTTGCTGCTATGCTTGTTTATTCCATAACAGACTGAAACCACTTGATTGTTAATCTTTCATTTATAAACTAGTAAAATTCTTGAAAAAGGACTGACTGTTAAAAGAATGTCTTGTGTTAAATTGTCTTTCCAGCCTCATAAATGTTGTTCTTATCTTTCAGATACTAAAATGGACCGTAAAGACCAGTTATTTGTAATTAATGAGGTAACCAAGGATCTTTCTAGTGCTTATTTTCTTTTTTAAATTTTCTATGAAAATTCAATGTGCAAGGGAAAAGGGCAGCCAAGTTCAGAGGATCTCATACTAGTTATAGGAGTTGTATAACTTCATAGGTGAAAATTATTGTTATTTGAAAACACTTGTGTTAAAACAGGAAGTTGAATTTTGATTAATGAAACCAAAATTAAACTTATAATTAAATGTAGATTTTCGTCATAAAGAAATAAAACCTTCTATGTAGGTGAGAGGTGTGGTATAGTTCATACTTGAAGAATGCAGGACACAAATATGCAGCCAGCCCAAACAATGTAGTAGGACATTGGTAGTCCTGAACCTAGGACGTAATGTTACAGCTCCTGCTCTCAAGTTTATGCCTGGAGAGCTTATCAGGTTGTTTGTAGCTTTAATGAAGTTATTTTTCTTTTTAATAATTATGTGAGGTTTGTCAACAAAACAAGTGCTTCAGCTAAAGTTTTGGGATCATTAGGTGGAATTTATTAAGTCAAAACCTTTGCTTTTGAACTTACATTTTGGAGATGGGAAAATCGTAGTGATGAATGTGGAAAGTTTTCTGTATTATCTTCAGAATGTTTGTAAACAGCTAATTTGAGATGTCTTGTGTAGGTGTGTGAAATGAAAAACTGCAATAAGTGCATCTTTTTTGAAGCCAAAAAGAAACAGGATCTCTATATGTGGTAAGGAAATGTTATGTTTTGTTACATTTGTATATATAGCTGCAGATGCTTCAGTTTTAGCTTAAGTCTCTTACTGTAATAGTGAAGATGCATGAAATAGCATTGCTTAGTTAAATCTGTTCTAATATTGCACTTCTGTGGATAGTGCAAGTTTACAATGCATGACCAGCTTTTGTAGACTGTTTACAGAAGCATGTTATAAAATTATTTAGAAAGCAGGTATTTATGAGTGTGTTAAAGGAACTCGATAATGTTATGAAAGCAACTGAAATCACTTCAGTACAGGAGTGAGGGTGTACTGTGGAAATCCAGCACACCTTCTGGCTGCTGTTAATGTTTTTCTTTTCTGTCTTCCCCACCCCCTGTCCTCCATAGGCTTTCAAACACACCACAAGGACCATCAGCTAAATTCTTAGTGCAGAATGGTAAGCTAGTTGACATTATTGTGTTTGTATTCTTGCTTCTTTGTACAGTACTAAAGTACTGTAAGTACTAAAATGATATACCTTTTTCAAAATCACTGTAGTTCACACACTGGCTGAATTGAAGATGACAGGAAATTGCCTAAGGGGCTCACGGCCCCTCTTGTCTTTTGATCCAGTAAGTATAGTTTTCATTTCATTGGCTTTGCTTTTGTTCTCTTTGCATGACTATTGCATTTAGATTTGTATGTAAAATTCAGTTTTTATTCTTTTTAGATATTTGACAAGGAGCCACACTATGCCCTGCTAAAAGAATTGTTTATTCAGGTCAGTCTGTAGTTCTGCTGTCCAGTGTTTCTTCTTCACTGAAAATGTTTTTTGGCAACATACTTAAAAATCTCAAGTGTTTTTTCAGGTAGCAGTTTTACACTTCTAAACTTTCAAAAAGTCCTCAAATGATTTGGGTCATATTCTTAAGGTGACTTGAACACTTGTTCTCAAGTTTTGAGTTTTGAAATGTAACCTGGGATTGGGATCTTAGTAAATTAAAACAAATTTAAACTGAACCATTTATGCTTGACCTCTTAAACTGTAGATACTCAGAAATGCTGCCTCTTATTACAGATATTTAGTACACCGCAGTATCACCCCAAAAGCCAACCTTTTGTCGATCATGTTTTCACCTTCACCGTTACAGATGAGAGGATCTGGTTTCGGAATTACCAGGTTAGTGGTCTCTCTTAGCTCTTCAGAAGGAGCTCAGTGGAGTAATTTCATATCAAATCTATTAATTAAAATAAAGTGAGAAGAATCATTATTATTATTGGGATATGCCAACCTCTAGTGCTTTCAGATTCAGTCCTGAAACGACTTACCTTTTCCTGTATCTCTGGAGAGATCTGGAGAGAACTTGCATTCAATGAGTTGTGGTTCTGTGATGGATGTCTTCGTAACGGGAAGTACTACCCAAAGCCTACACTTTGCGCTGTAACCTTACTTGCTGCTTTGACCCAAAGTGAGCTGGAGCTTACTTTCTAAAGGAGGAATTCACAAATACCTAGTACTCTCTAAAAGCTGGCTTGAACCTAAAAGAACTGCTTTATGTACAGAACTGGGTTTATACAAGTCTAACTTATGAGATTCAGGGGCACCATATCTCAGATTTAAATTCAGTTGTGCGTTACCATATGTAAGGTGCCTACAAGGTCATATACTGCCATTTGATCCATGAGAATTTAAGAAAGTCTTCTTTTTATTGCAGATAATAGAAGAAGATGCATCTCTAGTAGAAATTGGGCCTCGTTTTGTCCTGAACCTCATAAAAATCTTCCAAGGTAGCTTTGGAGGACCAACTCTGTATGAAAATCCTCATTACCAGTCCCCAAATATGGTAAGCAGTTCTGTCTTTGTTTTCTCTTTTATTCAGCAACTTATTTGAAAACCAATCTTGCAGTCTGTCTCTGCAGGAGCATCACACATGCCCTTCTCCAAGACCCTTCATAGAAAAGAGCCCCAATTGATAATAATTCGAGAACAGAGTAATTTTGTAATTTGTAATCCTGTGAACATGGAATGAATGCAGAAGTGATGTCACTGAAAAGATGGCATTACACTGAGGATTTTGACCACTAAGCAGAGAAATTACCACGTTTATTTAATAGTGGGTTCCTTCCTATTGCTTATTTGAAACATGTTCAAATTTAAATTCTTACAGCATCGACGGCTGCTGAGATTGTCAGTGGCAGCTAAGTTTAGAGAAAAACAGCATGTGAAAGAAGTGCAAAAGGAGAAGAAAAAAGCGAGTAAGGTCCTTGTTAAAGAAGATCCTACCGAAGTGGTCTTTGAAACTCCGGCTGAAGAAAAGCCAGTGGAAATACAGTTTGTGAAACCAGAGTCAAAGCCAATTGTTAAAGATAAAAAGAAACTACGCAAAATTCAGAGGAAGAAACAAAAAAAGCTGTTCAGAACTGAAGCATCAGCATAAGTGTTGCAAGGGTGGAAACTAGCTATATTGATATAATATTGTAAATAATTGTTTCTACAGGCAAAACTATTTGGAGTTCAGTTTTAAGTAAACAAAATATCCATTTCTTTATTAGGATTGCTTGTGTGTTCTTTTTTTGTCTTCTGGGATTCTAGGTTTTGAAAAATATCATGACATCCCATCCAAGCCAGCCTTAAACGCTTCCATGGATGGGTTATCCACAACTGCGCTGGGCAACCTGTTTCTGTGCCTCACCACCCCCACAGTAAATTTTTTTTTTCCCTAATACCTGAAATCTGATTCCAAGCCACTTTCCTTGACTGATGTTAGCGAGTAGTTACAGACGTCTCTGGGGCTATTTCTTAGTTATGTATCTTTAAGCTACTTCACAATTCCAGACCTCAAGACCTGGTTCTTCCACTGACTAGTTCTGTCTCCCTGTGCACTTCCTCAGCTTCCCTGTGCTTCAAGGTCTTGTTCGTGCTCTGTTTCTGTTTGATTCCTCTGAACAGACACAGGTTCCAAAGAGGAAGCTGACCTGTTAAGTGCTAAATATCCCACCCAGCAGGGCAAGGGAAATTCAGTATGACCTCTGCAACAAATGATCTGTGGGCCAATGGAAAGAAAGATGTGAATTTCTTCTGCACAGGCATGTGTTCAGTTCATGTGGTCTAATACACGGTCACAAATATCTCGAGTTGGAAAGAATGCATGAGTATCATTGAGTCTAAGTTAACTCTTTGCAGAACTATGTATCACCAAACCATATGACCACAGTCTTCATCCAGATCCTCCTTAACTCTTGACAGGCTTGGTGCCATGACTGCTTCCCTGGGGAGCCTGTTCCAGGAACTGACCGCACTCTGGGTGAGCAACTTTCTCCCAGGGTCCAGCCCGAACTTTCCCTGATGCAGTACTGTTTCTCTGACACAGGGTTTAACCCCACAGAGCTGCTCGTTCACTCTCCCCTAGTGGGAGGGGGAAGAGAATCGGAAGGATGAGAGTGAAAACTCATGGTTTGAGATAAAGACTAATAGGTAAAGCAAAAGCCATGCATGCAAGCAAAGCAAAACAAGGAATTTATCTACCACTTCCTCCGTGCAGGCAGGTGTTCAGCCATTCCCAGGAGAGCCGGGCCCCATCACATGTAACTGTGACTCAGGAAGACAAATGCCATCATTCTGAATGTCCCCCGCCTTCTCTCTTCTTCCAGCTTTGTATACTGAGCATGGTGCCATATGGTATGGGATAGCCCTGTGGTCAGCTCAGGTCAGCTGTCCTGGCTGTGTCTCCTCCCAGCTTCTTGTGCACCTCCGGCCTTCTTGCTGGTGGAGTGGGGTGAGGAGCAAAAATGCCTTGACTCTGAGCACTGCTCAGCAACAAATCTCTGTTATTACCAACGCTGTTTCCAGCCCAAATCCAAAACGCAGCTCTATGCCTGCTACTGTGAAGAAAATTAGCTCTATCCCAGCCAAAATCCCCGTGAAAAAGATGTACATGCATTGAGGTCCCCCCAAAGCCCTCAAGACCTTTCTCCATCTTGGTTGTCCTCTTCCTGATAAACTCCAATATCTTTACACCCTTCTTCTATTGAGGCGATTCAAACTGCACACAATATTCCAGATGGGGCAGCTGCAGAGCAGAGCAGAAAATCTCCTCCCTTGCCCAGCTGGCTGTGCTTTGCCTGATGTCCCCTAGGACATGACTGGCCCTCCTGGCTGCCAGGGCACTGCTGACTTGTATTCAACTCGTCATCTTTGAATCAGACAGTGAGATCAGGACCTCCAGATCTCGCAGGCTGATCCAAAGCTCTCTTCATGCAGTGCCCACTGGTACACACCTGATCTAGAGAAAAAAGCGGCTTGAGCTAACTCTAAGATCTCTGAAGAGTGCAGGTATCAAAAAAAAAAATTTACCTGACAACCTGAGAATGGGTGCTGTGCTGGCTGTGCCCCCGAGCTCCTCAGCACCCACAGGAATCAGATATAATTGTATCAGAAACAGTGTGGCCAGCAGGACCAGGGAAGTGGTTCTCTCCCTGTACTGGGCACTGGTAAGGCTATACCTCTAGTACTTTGTCCAGTTCTGGACCCCTCAATTCAGGAAGGACATTGAGGTGCTGGAGTGAGTCCAGAGAAGGGCAACGAAGCTGGTGAAGCACAACGAAGTTTGAAGCACAAGTCTTATGAGTGGGAATGTTTAGCTTGGAGGAGGCTCGGGGAGACCTTATCACTCCCTACAAGTACCAGGAAGGAGGTTGTAGCCAGGTGGGGGTCAGTCTCTTCTCCCAGCTAACTGGCAACAAGACAACAGGACACAGTCTTAAGCTGCACCAGGGGAGGTTTAGGTTGGGCATTAGGAGGAATTTCTTCACAGAAAGGGTGATTAGACACTGGAATGGGCTGCCCAGGGAGGTGGTGGAGTCACCGCCCCTGGAAGTGTTTTAAGGAAGAACTTAACGTGGCACTTAGTACCACGGTCTAGTTGACATAGTGGTGTTCAGTCACAGGTTGGACTCGATGACCACAAAGATCTTTTCCGACCTAACGCATTCTGTGGTACCTGGTCAATTCGGCATCACGTGGCTGCGGGGCCGACACACACACCTCGCAGTGCTGGGCTCAAGCGGACCCGCCCTCCTCCCCGGCAGCCTCCCCGCGGCGGGTGACAACAGCCCGCAGGTCCCGCCCCGCTCCTCCCTGCGCGGGGCGGCCGTGCCCGCTGTCCCCGCCCCGCCGGCCGGCGCTTCCCCGCGGGTTGAGGTACCGCCACCCCGCCGCCATCGCCATGAAGTGCCACTACGAGGTGCTGGGCGTGAGGCGCGACGCCGCCGAGGAGGAGCTGAAGCGGGCGTACCGCCGGCTGGCGCTGCGCTGGCACCCGGGTACGGCCGCGGCTCCGGGCGGCGGGGCCCGGCCGGCCCCGGCCCCGCTCTGCCCCGGCCCGGGGAGCCCCGTGCGGCCCCGGGGAGTCGCCTGACTCGGGTGCCGGGGGCGGCGGGGCGGGTTCGGCCGCTGTGCCGTGCAGCCGCTTACAGCAGTTTCGTTAAATTGCCCTGCAGATAAAAACCTCGAGAACGCGGAGGAGGCGGCGGAGCAGTTCAAGTTGATCCAGGCGGCGTACGACGTGCTCAGCGACCCCCAGGAAAGGGCCTGGTGAGCGGCGCTTGGCCTGGGAGAGGCTTAGTTAGGTCCTGTCTCTGCCTGGGCTTGTAATGTGCTGCCCTTGGGCCTTGTGGGAAGTCAGTGCGGGCATCCATGGGCAGGAGCAGCCCCCTTTAGGCTTTGGAAGGGTTGGGAGCCGTGCAGCCTTGCTGGAGAGGCACAGATCCGCACCCACGCCTTCCATGCTGGAGGTGAAGGTGTGCTGGGCACCGAGGAGTACTCTGGGACACCCCAGTGTTGGCCTCTGTCTCCTCTCCCGGAGCAGGAGGCAGCTTGCACGGTATCACAGGTGCCCCTCTGGTCAGCCCTGCCGGCCTTGGGCAGGGCAAGCACACGTTCAGTGTCCTTCGAGTGCTGCAGATATTAAGTCTTAATGATGTACATTATGTTTCTGTACAGTCCTGTTCTGAAATACACACACACACACATTTAAGAGATTGACACTCTAAATGTCCTGTGTAGCTCGTTTTTCAAATGGTCCGAAGCAGATTACGTAGCTAAAACCACCTGTGCTAAGTTTGTCCTCTTTGAAAATACAGCACTGGTTTCAGGTTTTATATGCCAGTGTATGATTTGGGGGTTTTTGAGTGTGTACAGGTATTAGATGATTTAAATAATGTCCTACCTGTTTCTGAAGCATCTTGCTCAAATGTGATTGATTGCTAGCTACCTGTTAAAAAAATTACTGCTACAGATATTGCAGATAAAGTAATAGTAAGTAAACTGAAGGTCAAGATAGAATATTTACCTAGCCTGTCTTATTTTTCTTTCTGAAGACTTTGGATGTGAGAGCCAAATTACAGACACTGGGCTAAGCTATACACTGATGTGATAGGTGTACTGTGCTATCTTACCAGCCCTGGAGAATGTCCTATGTCTCTACCTCCTGGATGCTCTGAATTTTTTCTAGGTATGATAATCACAGGGAGGCTCTGCTGAAAGGAGGAGTTGATGGAGAGTATCAAGATGATAGTTTGGATCTGCTGCGCTACTTCACTGTTAGCTGTTACTCTGGATATGGAGATGATGAAAAGGTAATGAATTAATTTAAGGTATCAATTTAAATTCCATTATAAGTGTTGATGCCTGCTCAGCTGGTGCTTAGAAAAAAATCCAGGAGCCGTTAGTTGGGGTGAGATAAGGAAAGGTTTAATTGTGCCAAGGCAAGAGATGTTACACGACACGTGCGCTGGGCTGTGCCCGAGATGTTACAATTATAACAATATCTGGCCAGTCCCAAGTGTGTCCTCCCTCTGACTTTTGCTCTGGTCCACCCCCTGGCCCACCTCCCGGAATTGGGTCGGGGGGCTTTTTGGGACCCTCTCTTCATCATCCTTCATCATCTTCGGGGTACAGAGAGCAGAGTCACCCAGTTCTTTGACTCTGTCCTGCGGTTTAGGCCAAGATACAAGTGTTCCCCAAACAAGACAGGCTTGCCTTGGCTAAGACACAAAACATCTTCTACTGGATACGGGGATAGGGTTGAAATGGGGACTAAGGAATGTATAAACTAAGGGGTGCTAGGGGAGGAGGGAGAAAGGGGTGTTTCTAAAATCTACTTCTATTACCTATAAAACTTATAAGATAGAAAAATAAAAAAAACATTAGGGGCTTTAAGGCATCATGTTGTCATTTGCTTCGTATTGAAAAGTTATGTGTAGAATTATTAGCATGGGTAGTAATAATGCTTACACAAATCTAAGACAAAACTTACACTGGACATTTAGGGAAGCTTTAATTCCTGCATGTTGTCTAACAATTACTTAATTCGTAATTTCCATCTAAGTCATACAACTGCAAAGTATGTGTATATTATTTATTTATGTTATATAGCGAATCATGCCAGAGATTTGCAATACCATCTGTTTATTCGGAAATACTTTTAACAGGCTAGAATGCTTCAGACAAAAATTAATGTAACAAGAGTGCTTGGGAAAGGTGTGTTTCCTATAAATTAATTCCCTATCTCATTT